CCCGAGATGTGCGAAATGCCGCAATGACCCCAGTATTCTGAATGCACACTCCCTAAATGCGGGCTCCTGTACGAATTGCAAACAAATCACACAGCAAATTTATCGTGGTTCCTTTTTACAAAGCAGAATTAAATAAAATACTTAATAAACCTCAACTGGAGAGAGATATAACGCAGGCCAAGCCAAGGCACAGTATAGCTCACAAGGTCAAGAGATAAATTATGAAAAAGGCAAGCCGGTTGCAGCCAACCTCCAATCTATAACAATGCCCAATTCCCTCCCCTACCGAAAGACCAGGCTTTGGACAAGACAGATAAATAACTCTCAGGAGAACGTTAAAATACGACGCCGTTACAAATCAAAACATCGATAGGATTAAATTAATCGAATCGATCACAAGTACGGTAATTACTCAGATTATAAATTTTCTTTTACCACAAATACAAGTTATGATTCAAAACGCGTTACAAAAATGAATTGTAGCCAGCTCAAGAACCTAAATTTTTCAACTGGAACGCAAATGTGACTAAATAAACCAAGAGAATATTTTTAGGGAACTTCTTATTCATGCCACAGAGATACAAATTGCTTGCGTCACGGAAAACGCACTTTCACCCATCTGATAAATTCAAATACCTGCTTCAATATATACAGAAATGATAGACCTTCTTATAAAGCTGCGGGTGGGGTAGCGATTATAATACGTAAAGAGCTTAATCACTCTGCAAATTGAGTGTCCCACTTCTGACTGCCTGGGGACGATAGCAATAAATTTAAAAACAGCTGATTCACAAATAATAATAATAATAACCGCTTACAAACCACCCAACAAGAAATTTTCCAGTAAAGACCTCGAAGATAATATTGTAACATCCATAATAACTTGATGTACATTAATAAGAAGAAAATAATTATCATAGGGCGACTTAAATAGCAAAAATAAAGCTTGGAACTGCAATTACTACAACAGAAGCAGGTCGTAAACTCTACAGTCCGCACAAAGATCATATATATTAATCCATGCCCCCTCTACATCACATGATATCCATTTCACAATAAAAGGCGCCCCGGACATACTTGGCATAAGTCTATCCACAACATAAATTCCCCCTTTTTCACTCGGTAAATACACTGACCTCGATTCGGATCATAACCCAATATAATTCATATGCAGTTTCAGAGCACGGTTACAAGTTAACAATTCAAGGAAACTATTAAATGGTAAAAGTAAACTGGGATATCTTTAGCGAAAAAATATCACGCAATTGTCGTTCCCAAAGGATCTCAAAAACGGTACTGATTATCGTCCTACAAATCAAATCTAATTGAAGCAATAAATATCGCAATTAAAGAATATGTCAACCAGTGCAATATAACAAACATTCATCTCACTGGCTACCGAAAAACATCGTTGACGTTGATAAAAGATAAACACAGGATTAGAAGACTTTGGCAGTTGAGTCTAGAAGGCACACTTAAAAAGAAAATGGAACGCTTTAATGTAAAAGTCAAATTCCTAATCGACGATCACAGATATAATTCATTTAAAACAATATTTAGCGCAAATTACCCCCGCTCTCCTTCGCTATGGATACTATCAAAAGATCACCAAAGAACAATCTCAGAATACCATCACATTACAATCAGGTACGAGTATTCTCTACAAAACGACGAAAAAAGCGGAGGCGTTTGCTGTTCATTTTTCAAATTATTTTAAACCCAACCCAATAGTAAACCATGAGTTTAATGAGGAAATTTTTAAACAGTATGAAGCAACTTTATACACTCCGCCAGGATGTAAGAATAAAATTCATATCCCCGCAGAACTTAAACGCCCAATAAATAAACTTAAAACAGAAAAGCAGCTGGGAATGACCTAATAACTCAGTCAGTATTAAAAGAATTACGAATTCCACAATTGCAGCTATGACAGCTATATTAAAGCGCAAGCCTTAAGGACTGGGGTATTTTACCCAGCAATTGGAAAAAGCGCAATATCATTCCAATTAACAAACCAAATAAATGTCCACAACTGCTAGATAACTACAGACCAATTATCTTTTGCCTTACATTAGCTTAAGTATGTGACAGACTGATTTCAGCAAGGCTAAATAAATACTTACACGGCTACGAACGCCATACCTGATGTCCAATTCGGCTTAGAGCAAATCATTCAATGAACACCAAATTTTAAGAGAGTTGCGGATTTCGACTTATCTCACGAAGACGAAAGCACGGAGTGGATGCTACTGGCGTTTTTCGAGCTCGTTGGAGAATACAAAGATAACGATACTCCGGAAGTTCTGTTCTTGAGCATTACTACGTTGCGCTTGGCACAGTAGTTAAAATACAAGATTCTTTGACCGCCTCCTAAGGCATCCCATAAATACTTTCTAGAATATAATAGGAAAGTTTCTACTAAACAGATCATTTAATCATTGAAAATTACATATACATACTCGAGCGATCGGGCTAAATATAGAATCCTCAGCGGAGTCCACAAGGTTTCCCCACTCTCAACCGATTTATTCAAAATATAGCCTTGCGATGTGTCCTCGGAACGTAATGGATACCGGAAAGTAGCCTTGTTCGCAGTCGTTACACTGAGTCAACCATCGCTCTCATCAACATTGAAGAAACTGCGTTATTGTTGCTAGGAAAACCTACAAAGGACTTAAATTATATTTATAATTAATTGGAATTGATAAATGGAGAATTCCTAGATAACACCAAAACAAAATCACAAGCACACATTTTCCAGAATCAGCTATAAAGAATAGCACTATCCCTCCTACTCTTTAACATGCAGTAACATCCTGATCTCGTAGGCTAAACGATAACCAACCGCGTGAAATACTTAGGAGTAGACTTAGAATAAGAAATTAACAGGGAAAACCACATAACTGAAGGCTGACACAAAACCCATACAAAATTAGTCAAACTTTACCCACTATTTAGTTAGTAAATCAACACATGTATTTTGTGTTGGGGTGGGGTTGTGATTTAAAGATTAGAATATGCGTAGGTAAAACACTATCGTTTTCACAATCTATTAATTCGTCCTTCGCATCTCACTTGGTCATAGCCATGGTTCACATGTGTCAAGAGGAGGCGACAAACACGCATATTAACAAAGCTGGGAGTCAAATTTGTCATTTGAGCACCATTTCCGATTCGAATAGTCTCCTCCAAAGGGTCCGCTAGATATATATCCCTTGAGACGGACTTCTCAACATCCAATATAGACGATTTTAACACATATAGACTGCATATAGACGAGATAAATAGAACACATACTGTTCTAATATATTTTAGTTAAGGCTTGAAGCTGTGTCCCTAATTAAACTGGCATAAAGAATCTCATATCACCTTCTGGGCCAGGACTGGGTCATTATACCCCCATACATGGAATATATGTTCACACGCCGCTTGATATGCACAGAATATAGCGAGCGATGACACCAAAGCTCAAATAAGATTGCTAAGTCATTAAAAATGCTCGGAGTAGCGATACCCAAGGTTGTGTGTAGTATACTCGCGAATAATATATTAAGTTTATTGAGCACTCAAGTGTATAGTTACTTATTGTTTAGATTTAAGGATAGTGTCAGCGTTTGATGTATATTGTTTATTTAAGTATTTAATATATTTATTGTTATATTATTCTGTGAGTTGAGTTTATATATTAGTGACGATTTGTTACAATCTTTGGTATAGCAAATTTTTAGTTCTATTCTGCTTGATGCATACTGGTGAACTTAGCTCTGTCATAGTGTGATGTGGAGTGTATATATATAAAAGTAAACTAATAAACGAGTATATGCTGAATTGAACAAAACTTCAGGCTGCCTCCTCGAAGATGTTCGTATAGCTCTGGCCCCAGAAGTAAATGGTGGGCGGATCTATTTGTATCTTGTGCTGCCCTTGTATCATGTGCTATAGATAGCTGATGTAGTTGAAGAGTGAAGCGTTATGGTGGAAAGTAGAAATGTAAATTTCAATAACAAATACTAAAATATATATATTCAAAGATTATGTACAAGTTACAATGAATTGCAATATTAAACACTCCGCAACCTTTTCCTTTCGGAACACTGCTTTACCGCAGAAAATACAAGCCACGCGTGATGCGCGCCGTCGGACCTCTGTCCCGTGACAATTACCGTCACATGGCCTGACGCCAAAAGTTAACCCGGTCGTGGCGACCGTGTGCCTACAGCAGTGAGATGGTCTGGCCCTTATTCTCCGGACATCCGCCTCACTCCTACACCTCTCCTGTGACACATACAGTACAAGCTACCCGATGCAACTGAATGAGAACGGCGGGCGCAGATAGCGCGCGTTAAATAGTTGAAAGGGGCTGACTGCACAACTGAACCACCATTAGTCCTGTGAATATAGGACTTCTCGCGGATAGTGTCGAGACGAGAACTCCTGCTGGTCCTAGCTCTTTGGGTGTACGGAACGGTCCCATCTGGAATGTTCTCAAGGTTGCTCGCCTGCCTACTCCTGCGTCTGAGCAGTGATAGCTTAGCCATGTCCGCTCAGAATGAGTTTAACAGGCCAACGGTATTTTGTGTGTGCTCTCTGGCGGGGTCTACTCATGTATGTTCAATTCCGAAAAATCGGAATGAACGCCGCCAGAGCGCAAAACTCCGATGTGTCAGGCGACCGCCATATATCCCTTCTCCTCTGATCCAGAGGTACTTTATCACGCCAAACGGTCTGGCCACTCACGCTGTTGATTAACCAGACGAGCCAACAGACCCTTAGCACCCCATGCTCTATAGAGGTCCAGGATTTATGTTTTCGCGCCCAGGAATTTATACATCCGTATAAGCACAGAGGATAAAATAAGTTTCTGCCTATAATATTCTGAACGTGTCGGAAGGTTGTCCACATTCTAAACTCCTGATATTATGTGTAAAACACATCATAAGTGTACAAAAAAATTAGCGAGACCTGTCTAAATTAACAGTACAAATTTATATATCTTATAGGGTCATGTTGGCAGCTAATTCCCTAGCTATGTTGCCACTTGCGGTTAATACCTAAATTTTGCCACACATATTGTGAACAGACACTCATTATATAACAAATAACAATATGAAAAAGATTCGCTAGAATTTACATTAATTCAATTATCGTTATATTTCAAATGCAGTGAGTAACTAGTGTGAAGACACACACTCTGTTAGCTCTTGAAGATAAGTGTTCACATCATTAATTACTGAGAATATTCAGTTACGTATCAGATGAGAACTACTTGGACTCTATATGTATCAATTCATCGAAATCTAGACATTACATATGTTGCAAGAATGACTCAGAAATTATTATGGCGTCATGTCATGGATTAGGCATAATTGAACAACATTACAACAATCAAACATGATAAATAACCTTTGAAATTTACAAATTATTTACTTAAAATGACACGACTATTCATACAGTGGTCACGAACGTGTGAAGATTTTTTCTTCTCCACTGTGCGAAGAGCACTCTAATTCCATTGTACGTAGAATAGCGACTGTAAGCGTCTATCAAGCATATTAACGTTCTCAGAACCCTTTGGTTGTAGTAATGATTTCTTAAGTCCTAATGATGCTGAATATTTCAATAAAGACCAAGCGGTCTGAATCTGTGATTTTGCCCCAGCGTTTTACGTAACCAAATCATATGGAGGATTGTGGAGTCAGTTTAATTGGGAATCGTGGCTTTGCCCGTCGAGATATAAGTTTTTTTTGCGAGTTTTGTCTAAGCCCAAATAAACCCAACACGTGCTGACATTCTGTCGTTCCATTAGATTGGATTTCGCACGGCATTTTAAGTTTACACGAAAACGACAAAGATATACGTTGCTACTGTTGTCTATATAGCAACCTTCGCCATTCAATTTGATAAGAAGCTCACACCGAGTATTCGCTCTCTTCATGCATCGCCTGAATTCTGATTTCTGAATTTTTTTAATAAAGTGGCCCATAATCTGAAGCGTGAGTCAAGCGGCGCCGTGTAAGTATTCACAAAGGAGCATAATACTGAGCGGACCGATACACGTGACCGAACAGTGCTCAGAAACGCGACGACAAATAACCTGCGCGCCATAACCCGTAAGAACTACTTGCCCAACAGCCTTTCTGAGAGAGAGTCTCGACTTAATAAGACTGTATTTAGCTGCTGCATACCTTTCAATTACGATGTTCGGCTTTCCGACCTATGGCATAAGGAACACTACTCTAGTGTTTGGAATCTCTTCATACTAATTACGCACACGAATCTAATCGGCAGAATTCCGCAAACACTCAGCCGTACATGGTGAAATCAAGTTCTTGATACCGTTTAAGTAGCGTCTTCCAGGGGAGGATCTAATCTGACTGACGAAGTGCGAATAAAGGAGCCTCCCGAATTATCTGGTGGTCGCGCACTCCCGAAATGCGGCATCCCTGCTCTCAGGTAGTTGCTTCCGTGGCTAGACCATATCGGAGCAGTTAGAATATAGCAACTAATATATGCGCATGAGCCAGACTTCTGGAAATGGGCTCCACACTCGTCGGACATGTATCTCTCCCTCGATTCAGACACGTCGTCCGATGTGGTCACCAATTTTGAAAAAGTGTGCCGTCGAAGTTCCTCAGCCGATGTCCCTACTCGCTGGCAATTATCGCGTACTGCGCACGGGAAATTTTCAATACTTATAACACCAGAGCGGCCCAAAAAGGAATACTTTGGCCATGCGCTTGCTCTTCGCTGACCAGAGCCATAAAGGGGCCTGGGAGCAACTTCCTGGCAGAGTTTCCAAAATCGTGCCATCGATGACATCATGCGGACGGAGTAACTACTTTAGATAGGACTAATCTCACGGCGCTTGCCTTTCGACGGGTTCGTGAACAATAATGGCCAGCGTTCTATACAAATAATGCAGCTACGTGCCGCCTCCGGCCTTCCAGCTAGCGTCAGTTAAACGGTAAGTAATGTCTCTGTCGCATTCATAGAGGCCGTTCTTCATTTACTGAGACCTAATACAAGGATTTCGGCTCGCGTTCTACAACGAGCCCTAGAGGCAACATTATCACCACACAGAACATCTACTGTTCAATCTTCCGTCTGTTGCCTTACAATTTGTCTTTGCAGCCATGTGTCTCGTGAAACCCCAGGCCCTGCTACGAAACGACTAGGGTTTTCCTTTTATCTGCCTGTCCGGTCTCAGGGACACAAGGCCTAAGCGATCCGCTCTTCGGCGCCGGTGAGCAAGAGGACGCTCGCCTAAGGGCTAAACAGCAGAGCGCCGAACACTTCTTCGTCCTCGTACCTGACACAAAGTGTGTCAGAACCCTCATTCTGGGCAGACTCGCCGATACCAACCAGGTATCACATAGAGCACATCCGTGGGTCCTGTTTCTGTTCTTGCCAAAGCGACTAGAGGATCCTAGATAGGAAAGCACCGTGCATTCATTCTCGGTGCTATGACACTGGGAGCAAGACACCGATTGCTTCAATATGATAGATATTCTAGCATCTGCAATCTTTTCGGACTACCAAGCTGAGCTTTTGTCGGTATACCCAAGGTTACCGACGGACCTATATGGAAAAATTTTCAAATATCTGGCCCACTCGCGTACATTTATCGGTGAGGCATCGTCCAGGTAGGGCACATTGCATGTCAACCCAACGACTCGCAGAACGTTGATATTGATTAGGCATGCACCGATGTCCTTTGCGTGAGTTCGAGAGTCTAGGCTAGCACCATTATCGCGAACATATGGTAGATGAGCTCCTTTCCGAAAACAGTGCACGAACATCGCAACCGTGTGAGGAAGCACCAATTCGCTCTGGCGCGCGCACCGTTCGCGTACGCACAGTGGACGACCCTTCATAACCGCATTCTGTTTAAAGCTCGAGGGCAATATCTTTTTTATGTGCCTGCTACCGGTTTTTTATGCAACAAATATATGGCACGATGTGCACCGTTCAAAGGGGAGCGGTTGGCTCAAGGTCTCATCGCTATATGTCTCCGTTAGGGGAGTAGGCGCTGCGCGACTTCAGAACAGTAGAAACCGGCGAGTTTCCGCGTTCCTCTCGCATTTCTCGCAGTCCCCCGCACAATGGACTCGTGTTATAATTTAGGATAACCTCATTTACTTCTGGACTCTTGCTTTGTCACGCATAGATATCGACTATGTTCTCGTCAGAAGTGATCCAGCTGCCGTGCCAAAATGTTGGGACTGTGGCAGACTGAGCCCCACAACTATCTAATAAAGTAGAGGTCTTAGCACGGACGGCCGCCGCGTCACATGTTTCCGTTTTCATCTGGTCGGGTAACCCAATCATGCTATCTATAAGACTCGTAAGTTTTTCCAACTTTTCACCAGCCTGAAATCTATCGCCATTCTTCTTTGCTACGGCATCGATCTGTTGCTCGAGGTTCGCATGGGAGACGTAAACATTCAAGTAGGTTTTTTTGAGCTCCTTTTTGCGGTGACGCAAAACAGTTCTGACGACAATTTTTTCGGGCGTGACTTATACATATACTAGTAATTGGTAGTTTTTGAATCTGGGCATCATATCCTGCTCAAAACTGGCGAATCGAATCCGAACAACTAACCCAAGTATAGACTTTTCATTGAGGAAGCAGTCCCATATTGACTGAACCCATTCGCATGTCCGCGCAATGTCGTGAATCGAGCATTGCGCTTCGAAAAACACTAAAATAGGTAATATCCTCCTTCGCCTATTAAATCTATCCATATACCTATTGAATACGAATTTACTCTTCTGATCTTGTCACACAGAATCTCTAACTACAGCAAAGAACGTAGCGAAAAGCGAGGTCGCTTACTAGATTCGTATATCTTAAGTATCACTTCAAGTTCGGAGTAGCCTGACTCTTCGTTCCTTATTCTCTGAATCGAGCTAGCCTGTGCCGTCTTACGAAAATGTCAACCAGGACGCTGTTCTCTCAGCTCTTAACGAATGCGCGCTGAGCAAAGTACTCGCTCACTTTACGCAATTCAGCTGCTTATTCTAGCGACCTGTATCATATCACTGATCGGACGTGTTGGCCTAAGCAAAAAGATATTACGTACTGCCATGCGAGCTATTACCCGTGATTAATACTTTAACTCTACAAATCTTCGGTTCCCTTCAAAATTTTTCCTCCATATCCATCGCGACTCCTCACAAGTACCTTTCTGCCGAGATACCAAAACGTCAGAAACAGAGAGCATTGGGTTGAAAATTGAATTCCCCGACTGCTATAAAAAAACACTTACGTTCTGTTGACCTCGTAGTACGAGTGCGCAAGCTTACCTGGGATACACGGTGACTTTTCGCTTTCCTATCGGTATCGAGGCGTCCGGGGTATGTTCTTCTCAATGTTCCAGTACCCATCTACCACGTAACCATATCAACTGCACCTAGTTCAGTTCCAATCCAAAAAATAGGATAACAAAAAAGGTTCCGTAATGTGTGTACTGAATCTTTTTTGTGAATCAATTGGAAAACTGTCCGAAACGCGGGTCGTTACCCAATGAGAGGAAACTTAGCCACTCTGCACAATCCGTATTAACACGATGTGCGTGCACAATGTTTCAAAGCTTCAGGTGGGCCGCGACACTACAGTCGTGGAGCGCCACAACAGTATGAATACGAGCGAGTGCACACTAACTATTTTAGTCGGAAGCACAACGCGTTAGCTCGTTTCAGACGGTTTGTAATTGGTTCCAGCGCGCACGAATGATCAGGGCTGCAGGCATATAGGCAAATAACCCTCATGGCATTTCACGCTCTGCGTGCTGCTAAGCTCTCCGCGTTCTTATGCCGTTTTGGTTTATTATGAACCTGTGCAGACCAGGTTCGCCGTCATTAGATTGGGCTCGTAACATCGCACCTGCCACACAACCCACGCAAAAAACTTGGTGGGTACACTTATATAGCCCACCCGATACCATATAGAAAAAATTTCTGGTGGGTACACTTACTATCCAATCTGACTACAGCTACGATAAATCGATTCTTTCTCCTAAATTTTCTCGATGGGCTACGTT